CTTTTAACTTGTTAATTATTTTTTTTATTAACTTAACTTATAATCAATTAATTTCATTATGGATTAACTTATATCTTANCTAAATAAAATTTTTAAGACCTTTAACTGTAACTTAACTTAAATAAAAAAAAAATTTAACTTACCCAACCTTGGTGAAAACTATTGTACACGAAACTTTTAGGGGGTTGAATACTCTTAGAAATGATCTTGTGTAAAAATAAGGTAAGGCTGTGTAACGGACTGTTAATTGAAGAAATAATTATTTTAAGTGGAATGCCGGATTTATGGATCTTTGGCACGCCGTATGCTCTAGGGAGAATGGGTAACAATGAATTTAAATTACGGTGAAAGATGTCCAAAATATAACTGTGAGACCTCCATTTTTTTAACAATATTTTTAGCGAGCTTAACATAGAATTGACAGGATTCTTTTTGATCGGAGCATATGTACTGATGTTCGACAACAATTTTTCCATATCGTGAGTGTAATTAACCTTGTCCATCGCGACTACAGTGTTGCCCTTATCGGCTCTGGTATAGATGATAGAAGGATGATGTTTTATGAACGAATTAGTAAATTTAAAAGCGTTATTAAATTCTAAGTGGTGTATTTGTCTTTTCTTTAAATAATAAATAAAAGATTAAGAACGTTGTTTAAGAATACATTAAATAAACACAAAATACCAATGAGAGAATCAACATATACCACTATAGAAGATTCTGTATATTTTGTTATACCCTACATACATAACAATAATTTCAGTCTCTCAACAACACAAAACACAATAATAAGATATCTAAACCAGCTTTCAGAAATCTAAATCAATTGTCCAAATTTAATAAAAACGTCTTAAGGCAATACTTGCCCTAAAGATTTTTGTAAGTGGACCAATTAAAATCCCCAGACCCTCTTGAAGGAAAATCGGGATTCCATCCGGTCTCGGTAATTTATAGAGGTTGAAGGTCTTAACAGCCCATTCAACTCCTCTTGGATAGACAACCTTTGCTGCTAAATGCCACTCTTTGAACTTATATTCCCTGGGCTTCGACCGACTAGGTTGTTTTTTATTGTCAAATTCTGGGAAGTGGACATCCATCAGATGTTTTAGAGTGCCTGATTTTTTCTCAGTAATGTTCCCTGTTAGAAGCTTAAGACAGCCCAACTGAGGACGATGATCTAAGCTGAGGATTCTGCAAAGTCTAGATGCCTCCGGGGCACTCTCAATACCTTTGCAAAAGTGTCTCCAGCTTTTGCGTTTCGCTTTCGTGATTGCCTTGCTCTATTCTCGTTGGAAGCTTCTAAAAGCTTCTCAGTGAGCCGCAAGGCCAGTTCTTTTTGTTTTGTTAAATCCCTTTCTTGTTTCTGACTTCAGCTTCTCAAGCTCATTATTCCACCAGTGGATCTTGGTCACCGATTTCTTGGTCTCGACAAGCAGTTTGCTTCGTAGACATCTACAATGGCGTTCTTTAAGTAATCCGCCGCATCTTCTAAATTATTCTTAGACCTGTAACTAGTTGGGGCTCCAGCAAGTCGGGCATTGAGGTAAGCCCTGAAGCCGTCCCAATTAGTCTTCCTGGGATTACGAGCCCAGCTTATCGGCGGCGAGTGTTGCAGAGTTAGGCGTATTTGTTTGTGGTCGGATCCCGAAGGTTCATTAGGGACCCTCCAGTCTCTCACCAGACTCGCCACCCTCTCCGTACTCACCGTAATGTCAATAACCTCTCTTCTTGAGTCCTGGAAAGTCGGCTCAGTTTCTCTATTTAAGATGGTGAATCCTGTGCCTATTAGGAAACCATGGAGACTCTCCCTCCGCGGATTAATGTCTGTGCTCCATTCGACATGGTAAAAGTTTGCATCGCAACCCAGCAGGAGCTCAAGTCCCCTGTCCTCCGCATAGGCCACTAGGGTTTTTACTCTTCTTGCGGTGGTGGATTCCTGGAGTCGAAGGGCATGAAGCTGACCCTATCAGTACCTCCATGTCTTTCTTCTCGGCCAGTTGTACTCTCACCTTAATGATTGTGAGGTCCTCACTGCTGAGCTGTGACAGAAAGATGGCATTTAGTCCTTTAACCAAAATACAAGCTCTTACTTTTTTTTCCGAGTGTGCTTTGTATAAATTACCGTATCCATTCAGTCCTCTAATTGCACCGTTTACAATCCAAGGCTCTTGGATTATTACAATACTTGTTTGCATTATAGCCATGCTCCTAGCTAAAATTGCCGAGGCGCTTTTGCTGTGATGCAAGTTAATTTGCGTCACTCGGATGCCGAGAGGAGCCATTTTTAGGCAGTCTCGACACCCTCCGACACTTCCATTTGCTCGGTGACTTCTCCGCGTTCCCGGCTCGCCACCACTTTAACAGTGGCGCGACCGGTTCTGCCGAAAGGTCTGAAACCGCGGTTTTTTAGAGCTTTCAGCGAAGAGTCGCCAATCAGACAGGCGAAGTCGGCGCCCGTGACGTCCCTACTTCGACTCCTCCTGACGACGACTCACTCATTGGTTGCCAGTCCCGCATTTTGTTGGTTGAGGAGCTTCAAGGCTTCCTCAACTTCTACATCGGGCTCCTCCACGTGTATCAACACCAATAACGCCTCGGTAGCTCACCGACCGTCAACACACGCAGAGGAGTTCTCTTAATCTTCCAATCAGAGGAATGACTTTTAAGCCACTCCTCCGACTCTTTACTGGCACACACTATCACCAGTGTCCCATCTATGTCCCAGGTGCCGATGAAGGTGGGAGCTTTGGCATCTCCGGACATGTCGAGGATGCGAGACCTAATCAATTTTTGGATCTCCAACCCCTCATCAGCTCCTAATTTCTTGTCGGGGTAACCCTCCAATACTAGGGCCACCTTGACAGTTCTTGTTGTTACCTAGGCATAAGACCTTTCATTTCTGGGTCTCTTGTCCTGGCGATTGGTAGAGAGACTAGGGGTAGCGTGCTCCGGCCTGGCACGCTTCGCCGTGCCACCCAAAGCCCGTCCACCCCCAATTCTTGTTTTTAAAACAAAAGCAGTATGGGTGTGAGGGTCTTAGCAGCCACACTCTCCCTCGCCTGCCTCTCGGTTCTCAAACGGCGCCTGGCGGCCCCGCTAAGTCTCTTGCAAAGTGAGGCCACAGAGCCCGCTCTTGTATCATTTGGACTTCCTGGGTGTTTGCTTCGGGAGAAAGTTTCGCTCTTGGGAGCTTTGGAAGGGGTGCTTTCAGAGATGCTATCCATTCGAATCCCACAAGTGTCGCGGTCGCGCTGTCTCACCCAGCCAGAGCCGCGTATGGCCGGGGCTTGGCTCCGTACTCCTGGATTTTTCCCGGTATCCAGGAGGCACCGTTCAGGACGCAACACTCTTTGCGCCACGCAGCTCCCGGCACGGTTGCTCACACCTTAGCTTAGGGGATTCCTCTTAGGTGGCCGCGGGCGGGCTCACTCCTGAGCGGGTGACCATCTCCCGCAACCTTAAGCCCCACCACCTGTCCCGGCACAAGAGCCCCGAGCCCCCGAGGACACCAGATGCTTACTTCTGTGGTCAATACTTGTCCCGTCAGTTTACACATTCATTGTGGCAACACAAACGGGCAGATCTGCCAGCGTTCACTTGGGAGCTGACGATCAATGCCCGGCCGCGCCGCCACCAGCACATGCTGGGAACAAAATAAACGTTCAGTGTAGTTACTGCGAGGCGTCCAGACTATGCACACCGAGCGCTCCGCGGACTCGGAGCTCCCGCTTCGGAGCTACTACAAGGTGAGAACCCATTTGGGAAGATATATATGTGTAATGTGTTTTTAATTTTCATTATTAATGTCATTACACACTCGCGCGCGTGTGTGTAGAGAGAGCAAGATAAATGAAGGTTCTTTAAATTTTTTAAAATTTATTTAATTTATAGGAAATAAAAACTGAACGTTTTATAAAAGAAGAAGAAGAAAAAATACAAATATTGATGAAGATGACAAAGAAACAAATATTAACGACGATGCATGTTATGAAAATAGTGAATGGTTGGCATGTGGATATGGAATAAATACCAAAGTTACAAATACATTACATGAAGTAGGAGATCGCAAAAATGCTCATTATTTTCCATCTTTAGCAAAACGTTTATTGCAAGACGTAAATATATTGCCCTTATAGTCAAATGAATGTCGCGATGACTTCGGTTATGGTAGAGTACCAGCATCCAGTGCAGCAGTGAAAAGGGAGTTTAAGAAAGTTAAGAACATTATGTTAAAACTTTATTAACTTTCCCTGAGAATAGACGAATTTATAAAAATTTACATTGATTACTTACATGGGAAATTAAAACTTTTTGATACAGACAAAAAAAGTGACGAACAATGTGACTCAAGTGTGACTGTAGATAATATAAATTCATATGCAAATAATAAATCATCGACACGAGAAACAGAAAAATATGTCCTGGATGTTCCACAAGTAAAAATGTGTCCTGCATGTGCCAATAGTGATAAACCATCCGGTGCACATTTTTGTACAATCTGCAAGATAGCAGTACATGCTATAGAAAACTGCTCAATAGTTGTGGCGAAAAAGGTTACGGACAAGAGCGTATCTGTCTCTCTTGTTCAGCACTTGAAAGTAGTCAATCAATTCTTGCTTCACGCGAAACAGAAAATTGGAGAAGATTAAATTTGAAATCAAATAAAACTCGCACGGCAAGATATTTAGGAAAAAACAAATGCAATATTAATCATTCCTTAACATGGCACAGAAACACAAAACTCCCAATAATAGAAAATGGTACTTCTGTGGACTTAGCAGCAATTAAATTGCAAGATAAAAATTACTGTCTAATTAATACTTGTGCCTTTGACAGTTTGCTCCAAATTATGCTTGTAACAATATCAGATCATAAACATTTTGAAACCAAGGTAAAAACCTAGATTTAATAATATTAATATTTATGACAAATATATATATTTATTTTCTCACCTTATTACATTTATTATATGCATTGTCATGAATATTAGTTTCTTTTTCTTTTTCTTACAATTCTTTATACAAAACAAATAAAAAATCTTAAAACCTAACTTATCACTCTACCATATCTTACAATCTATCTAATTTTTCTATTTATTCACTGTTTTCTCTATATCAATTGTGACGTGACATCTTTTGGTGTCCGTCTCAGTGTAATTAACACGGCCATAATGAGAGCGGTAGGCTCGCGTCTCTCATTATTTAAAGAGAGCGACCTATTTCTTGTTGCGTGGCGCCTTGTAGGGCGCCAATTTTGTGTATCGAGGCAGTTGCCGCCGAATAAGTGGAACGCGCGCTAATAGCGCGTACGCGATTATTTTTGTTATAAAAATTAATGTTATTTGCGTAAAGCGAGCCGCTTCACGGCTAATTGTTTTGTGTGTGTGCCGTCCTGTAAGTTGCAGCAATCTAAGAGAGAGGAGCTAATTGCGCGTCAGCCTGAAGAGAAAAGGTAGAAGCCGAGCGAACCGCTAATAGACAGAAACGTACGAGTCGAGGGGTCGAATGGCGAAGAGCGATCGGTTGTCTCAGCAAGGGCGGTCGGAGAAAGCGCTACCCGGACACCAAGGACGTTGTCGGGATCCGACGAGCGCGTACAATCTGCCGACTCGAGATGGAGGATCAGCCTTACCAAGCTGCGAAATCTTCCACAGAATTCGGGCGGTGAGGGCCCGGCGCGGTCATAGAGTCGCTCTTAGAAGGACAACGCGGACCTACGCGAGTGGCGATCGATCACCGCGCCACGCGCCGCGTCACCTGATCGGCTGATTAGCATACGCAGAGGATCTAGCGTAACGCGGAAGCCGACCGCCGCAAGACTCGACGAACACTGTTGTGCGTACCGTCAGGGAGAAGTCACATGGTGCGGAACATGCGTAATGCGGAATTTACGGAATACATTCCAGCCAATCATAAACATTCCGCAAACTCCGTTCTGTAAAACTGTGTTTCCTTATGTCCCATTAAACGGAATTGGTTATTGCGGAATATGACGCAAACCAATCGTAAGAGCCTTTTCATAGATTACTTTCAATGGATCTATCGGAATAATGATTGCTAGTGGCTAGCGTTGATTACGCATCCGCAAATTCCGCTCAATGGGACATTAGAAAAGAAACTTTTGCGGATACTAAAAGACACGTCTGTGACATCTGTCATTGATGACAACATGTACTCGAAAGCATTGTGTATTGTTATATGCGGGCTGTGTAAAAAATTAAAGAAAAATAAAAATGCATTTTATCAGCAGAAATTACGCCGGAAAATTGAAAAATTGTACATTTTATATACAATTTCAAAAAAGGAAGAAAATAAAAAAAAAGAACGAAGATATTGGGTGCGACCTATATTTGTTGCCGAAAGGAGACTATTGCAAGGAGCAAGTAACAATCTTGTAAAAGAAATGCAGGAACAAGATGTTGAAAAGTATGTAGATTATTTCAGATTGCCACCTCAATTATTTGAAGAATTACTGAAGTTAGTAGGACCTGTCATTACTAAAGAACAAGTAGTTCGTGATCCCATTTTACCTGAAACTCGACTACAAATAACACTGCGGTTTCTAGCATCAGAAGATAGTATGAAGTCGCTATCGTATGCCTTTAGAATTGGACATAATACCGTGTCCAAAATTGTATCGGAGACATGTGAAGCAATATGGAATTGTTTGAAAGATACAGTTTTTCTTACAGACAATGAAGAGAGTTGGCTATCTGTAACCAATGACTTTGAGGAATTATGGAACTTTCCAAATTGCATAGGAGCCATCGATGGGAAACACGTTAATATTCAGGTATGTATGTTCGAAGCAGGTATATTTATGAATTCATTTATATTATAATGTTCAAACTATATTAAATTCTATAAAAAAGATTTAAAAAACTTTCTTGAGAGAGAAAAATGATTTTTCATGGATATTCTATATAAATGATAGTTCTATATAAATAATAATTCTATATAAATGATTAAAAAAAATTCTTTTATATTGTTATAGGCTCCGGCAAACAGTGGCTCGACATATTATAATTATAAGAAACAATATAGTATTAATCTCCTTGGAATAAGTGACGCAACATATTGCTTTACAGTTGTCGACATTGGTGCCGAAGGTAGGCAAAGTGACGGAGGAGTATTTCGTAACAGCATAATTGGCAAACGTTTCGAAAGCAACTCATTTAAACTGCCAAATCCGAGGCAAATTGAAATTGGCGGACCAGCATTGCCTTATGTTTTAATAGCGGATGAAGCATTTCCATTGACAACCTACATAATGACGCCATATA